ACAATTTAGAGGATCCATAAAGTATAAAATAAACTGATAGATGAAGCTTTGTTGCCCAAAAGCAAGAGAAATAGGATGATCAGGATCAATGAAATAATTAGTCTAGTATTCAGTAACAACTCCCCAAATCCCCAATTTATCACTATCGCAATGCAGACAATTAACAAACAATTAGTTATTCCGTAGCACTGTTCATCCCATATTGTGACCTCTCACATTGGCCTCTCTTGGACTTTAAAGAACATTTAATGAGATAAGTTATTTTTGTCTCATTTTGATTTATTTATTATTTACAAGTCTACTTGATCATTAAAAATATGAGTGTACTTTTTGTATAATACAATATCATTTTTAACATTATTTTCTTAGTCTATTGATTTTCAAATACATTATTTACATTGATTAATTATCAAAAGTGAATGGCAAAGGGGAATAACTTCTCTCGGTAGAATACAAATTAATAGAGTGCTGACCAGGACCAGAACACTTGACCAAATGGTCCTGATGTTGAAAAATCTGGAAAAAAAAATATCCTTGCTTATTAAAACTTTTATTCTGTTTGCCTTCAATATGCCAAGGAGCAGAGAAGATTTTTCAAAGAAATAATGCATTTTCACTACAGATTCAACACAGTACACTTTCACTATATTATCAATATAGCCCCTTCCCCTTCCCCTGCTAAACACCAAAACCAAAACCTGGGACCACAAGTTTAAGAAAAAAAGTTGTTAGAAGCACAATTGTACATCACAACTATGCAGTTTGTTTATAGACTCAACCCTAAGGGTCAGATAGGATTATTTAACAGAAATAATGCATTTTCACTGTATTATCAAAGAAATTATGCTTTTTCACTATATTATCAATAGAGTCCCCCCACCCCACCCTGGGGCCGTGAATTGCATAATTTTTGAAAAGGCATTATTGCTTATCATAACCATGCACTTAGTTTGTTTAAATAATTTCCAGGAGCAGAGAAGAAGATTTTCAAAGAATTTATGCACTACTTCACTATATAATCAATAGAGCCCCACCCTAACACCAGAACCCCTGACCCAGGGGCCATGAATTTCACAATTTTGTAAAAGGCATCCTTGTGCATCATAACCATGCAGTTAGTTTGTTTAAATAATACCCAGGAGCAGAGAAGAAGATTTTCAAAGAATTAATGCATTTTCACCATATAATCAATAGAGCCCCGCCCTAACACCAGAACCCCTGACCCAGAGGCCATGAAATTCACAATTTTAGAAAAGGCATCATTGCTTATCATAACCATGCACTTAGTTTGTTTAAATAATACCCTGGAGAAGAGAGGAAGATTTTCAAAGAAATAATGCACGTTCACTATATAACCTATATAGCCCCGCCTTAGCACCAGAACCCCTGACCTTGGGGTCATGAAATTTACAATTTTGGTAAAGGGCTCAATGCTTATTACAATCATGCCAACAGTTTGACTGCTTGGTGTCCAGGGGTAAAGAAGAAGATTTTTAAAGATTTCATCAATTTTGGTGGTTTTAGCCCCACCCCTCAGGCATCAGGAGGACAAAAACCATGAAATTCACAATTTTTGTTCCCCTTCACCCATAAATGCTATATGCCAAAATTGGTTGAAATTGGTTAAGCGGTTTTGGAGAAGAAGTTGAAAATGTTCAAAAGTTAACGCACGAATGACGACGCACGACGACGGACGAAAACAGATAGCAATAGTGATCCGAATGACTCCGGTGACCTAAAAATTAAAAAAAATTGATTGCATAGATGTCGTTATTCACATGATAAAGCAACTAATAAGAATATCTTCAGTCATTCTACAAAAATATGCTCAAATAAGAATTTTTCATGTCGCTTAAAAATTTACCGTTGTAATATCTTAATTATAATTTTAAAGATACATTTCAACTCAAAGACTTAACATACACACATGACTTTGTAAATATTTACCGATAAATAAATATGCAGTGTTACAAAGCGAAATGTAATAACAACGCAAAATGTAATGAACTGGGATTATTACATTTTGTGTTATTATATTTTGCGTCGAGATCAACGCAGAATGTAATAACGCAAACTGTAATAACACGATTTTTGGATTTTTACATTTTGCGTTATTACATTTTGCGTTGGGATTAACGCGAAATGTAATTTTGCATTTTTTTGTTGTTACATTTTGCGTTACTTAATTTTTGCGTTTAAGACAACTCAAAATGTAATAAAACAAAATGTAATAAAACAAAATATTATTATTTTTTTTGCATCGTGTTCAACGCGAAACATCACAAAATTGATTGAAACATAACAATGGGAAAACTCGTTTCACTAAATAGACAGACATATCTATGACCATGAGACAAAGTTTAACGTTACGGCTTTTACGGACATAACTAAGTGTAATTGTTTATTTTTCTAACGCTATTTCTAACATTTTTATTGAATACTTATAAAACATTACCATAACTTTGATTGACATGTCTATTTATAAATCAGTCTGTATTATATATCCATCACTGACATTCTTAATTACCAAAGATTGACCATGGGTCCATAAAAAACTCTTGATACATGTATGCATGCACGACGTGCATGTGTACATTAGTTAGGAAATTAGAAGTGCATGCGTGTGTGTTTAGAGAGGAGAAGCGGGTGTAGGGGTAACTTGTATGTTGATCATTGTATTTTTATGCACATGCAGAAACTCTCCATTTTACTGTTGAAGAGAGAGAGAGAGAGAACAAGAGAGAGAGAGATATTTTTATTTTTGCTGGTCTGCAATGCACATGATTTGTTATACAATATGAAATCTTAATTGTCAAGAAACCCCCTTCCCGCTATATTTACACCTGCCAGTAAAAATAGATTTCTTTTCTTAATTTAAGGCATATGCCTATCAAAAATCAAAAGCAAACTGATACACTGATCAACGAAATTACCCCCCTCCCATACACACATTCGTGAGCACGCACGTTTCTAATTTGCAATACCTATGATTTGGATATCAACTGATTTTAAGTGGCTAATGAAATCAATATATGATGAAATCAGATCTAATGAAAGAATTAGCATATGCTTATTTTTCCTTTTGTTTTATTTTTTCGAATTATTTTCTTCATCCACTACTCAATTGAAAATTTTTATCAACTTGACTGACTTAGTTTGTTGTTACATTTTGCGTTGTTGCATTTTGCTTAATCTCGACGCAAAACGTAACAACGCAAAATGCAACAATCCGAAAATCGTTTTATTACATTTTGCATTGATCTCGACGCAAAATGTAATAATGCAAAATGTTCCGAATTGATTGCAATGAATGGTAATTTTTCTTCCTATATAAAAAGAAAACAAACCAATTCTTGCAAAGAAATGCATGGATCTTCTTTCATACGAAGTCATGACATGTCGCTGAAAATCATTTAACTTCCGTAACGATTTTGTTTTAAATTGCAAGCCTAGAATGCAGATTTCAAAGAGAACTGAAACTTATTCAAGAGTGACCATGGAACTTAGTATTATCGATTCTAGATGCGTGCCAGTTATTATAGAACATTACATTTTCGACATTACAAAATGAATTAGACAAAAACAGTTGTCTCTCTTAAAAATTTAACTTCCGTAACGGTAATTCAGGAAATTTTTTTGCATGGAAGGTAGAATTTTTTTTATTATTATTTTGGGAGCGAAATGCTTCATACTTTTGATTTTGATTAACATCTTAAAAGAAACGTTAATTTCAAATAATGCCGAGAATTTCAACTTTTATTGCTGGAAATTAACTTTCATAACGAGTAACTTCCGTAACGATATTTTTCACGAAATTTTAACTTATTATCGGATTCATTAGAGACTTCATGAATCATACTTTAGCGCTCAATACTGAATTTCAGAAAACAAAAATTGTTTAAATTCAGCTTTATTTGAAAATAGTAAGACTTGTTCAAGCATGATCTTACGTAACATTACCTTAAAATCGTTGGTATGAAATTGCGGTAAAAAGTTAAAGATAGCAGTTTTGTGGACAATTCTTTTTTTTAAGTTCACTGATATGTCCTTTAGAGAATTACGATGTTGATTTTGCTATTTGAAACTTTTTTGTTTTATTGTTTTATTCCCTGAATTGGTCCTTTTATCGTAGAATGACTGTATTGTTTATGATTAGCTTGGCTTGAAAAGGTAATAGATTCTCATTTTTTATCCAGTTATTGTATTTTTATCTCCAAAATATTTCAAGACGCTGAATTCAGATTTCAATGAATTATTTTAAAAAAAGGGAGTCGCAAAACTAGGGTAAAAAGAAAATTTTTGAAGTTATAGAATATACCAATTCATTAATTCTTTTATAATAAAAATTACATTAAGCTTGTACACACTGAATTCTGGAAGCCCTGGACATGTGTTGATAGAGGTTAACATCTGAGAATTCCTACTTGTAGTTAATTAAGAAAAACCATGATTGCTTAAATGAATTTTTCGACAATGGGGGAAAAGAAGGAATTTTGTAACTGAAGTTTTTTGCTATTGTTTCTTCCTCTGTTAGTGATTCAACTGTTCAACTTATCGGGGTACAAGATGTAAATACATTCAGATTTATTTTATCTAATTTTGTGCCTCAAGATAGAGCACACAACAAAAAGCCACGGATAGTTAAAGCTCATCAAAAATTATAATAATACATGTACTTTATTTGAGTAAATTTAATATATAAAAATTTCGTTTATATAAAAATTTCGTTTATTAACATACAGTTTAACGTCCCTTGTGATGGCGTAATGATTGCAAACCGTTACAGTGTATTTTAAGATTAAGGTTCATTAAATAAATCAATAAAATCAAAGCAAAGTTAAACAAATGAAGTAATTTAATGTCTCTTTGACTTCCATACAACCAGATCTGAGGCCTGTCGAAACTAAGTAAATAATAAAAATCTTTGAAATAATACAACCAAAAAGTTTTATGAAATTTGAAGATAACGAACAAAAATTAAACTCAAATAAAAATCTTACTTGAAGTTCCAGACATGGACCACAGACGGATTTCTTGGTCATTGAAGGCAAAAACAGTCCCACATACAGTTTGATGGTGAAACGATTGTGAACTGAATGTCACACCTACAACAGTAAATAATGGACAAAACCTGGGTTGAATAATCTAGGTTCTTTAATTCAAAGTATTTCATTTATTCTTTCAAACAGAGGAAAATCAGTGTAATTTTTTTTTAAATAAATGTAAACAATTTTAAATAAAAAAATACTCCAAAATGTATGCAAATGTGCAAGCTCTTCAAAGATACATTTCGACTACCCTCACCTGTTGCCTCAGAAACATAGCCATTGGTCATTTTCAGCTGTACAACAACAAAATCTGGGGTTCTACCAAGTTCGTGTGTTATTGTCTTATAGCTGTCACCTGGTTTAAAAGCATTGAGTATAATGGAATACAGATATATTCCCTTTATCTTAAAGAAATGTGAATAAAATCACACTGTAACCTGTTTACAAAAGCATTAATCACTTCAAATTGAGATTACATAAACCATGGCCTTGGAAGTATAAAAGGTGCTTCCATGTACAATGAATTTGTAAGCATCCCCTATCGATCGGTAACATCCGCATGAGCCCTCTGTTTTGATCAGACAAAAGGAGCAATAAGCAGAAAAATCAGTTGGAAATAATGGTCTGACAGTTTTCCATTCGAAACCTCAGTCAGCATTTTATCTAATGACAGACTGTATTTGCAGACAAGGGACACGTTTTACAAGAGAACTTACGACTACGACCAAAAACGTAAGTAGATTATAAAATTTTGCAGAATAAATGATTCTGTTTAAAATTGTTATTGTGTAGAATATCTTTCTACATTCCTTTTAAAAATATTAAAACCATTTTAAATTAAAACTTATTTAGAAAGTTATAAGCAGAATTAAAGTTTGGTCTTACTCGTAAGTTCTTTTGTAAAACGGGCCCAAGGATATTGTATCGAATATAGAATTCGCAAAATACTGATTTTAAACATGGTCGGTGATACCCTTGTAACATCTATGTATTTTTCAGAAGCATTTCTCCATTTAAGGATATGTTCCTGTGTATCGAATCAACTGAGTGACATTAACACCAGATGCAGGCGATAGTGGAATGTTTTATGTTGAGAAGGGAAGCTACCTAGAAAAATTTATGTCATGACGTGTAATTTATTGTAGAGTTTGTAACGAGTTTGCCATCAGCGTCTCTCTCCAGTAGATCGTTCATATTTAAAGCTTTCGTGTCAGACTCTTTTATTCAGTTGATAAAATTCAATCAGTGAATATAAAATTTGTAATTATGTTAATAATAGTAGAGTTAAAGATTAAATTTTTGAATAAACAGTTATTAAATCACTCAAAGCACAGTCCATCTGGTCATATCACTCATAGCTAATTAACATAATAGATAGATCTGACATTGAAGAAATTATAACAAATCATTAATTAATAACAGAAATGTAGGATTTGATAATGAAAATATTCAAAGTTATGGTCAAAATGTCAAATGGTACATTTTCATCTGTGACAATACCCCCTTGCCGTAGTAAAACACGGCCTCTTGTATTGATTCGGTACACTTAAAGTTTGTCCACTTGAATTAATATAAATTCCGTATTGAATGTTTTGCAGATCAGAATTTCGTCTATTATTTTAGATTTTGATGGAATTATTATAAGCTTCATTTTCAAGTTCACAAATTCGTTGCACATAAAATTCATGGTTTTTCACAAGTTGATGGCTATCGTTTTTTATGGTCACAATGGTGTTGTCCTCTTCTTGAAGTTTCTCTCTGTTTTCTCTCCATTCTTCTTGGACACTAGCACTAATCGACTCTACTAGTTGTTTATGAGAAGAATTTTCGATCCGTAGAGTTTGTACCTCATGTTGCAACTTTGAAATCGTTACTTCATCTTCAGGAGTATTGTAATTTGATGGTTTAAGCAGGTGTTTCGTTGGTAGTTGATCAAAGTTTTCATCTTTGTTAATAATCAGATTAACTGCGTCAGCATACATTACTTCCATCTCTTGTAATTTAGCACGTATTTGCTGAGGTTCCGTTTTAAGTCTTTGATGTATGTTTATGGTCTCATGGAACACAGTATTTCGCAGATTATAAAAAGGCAGTTCGTGGTGGTGAGATTTGCTTTCAGTGTATTTTTCTAAACGAATTTTGTCTCTGGACTTCCGTCTACCAGCACGTTGCTCTTGGGTAGGTGCACTAGTATTTGCTATCATGATCATTCTCCGAGGGGTAGTTAAGACATGCAGTCCTACACATTCTAGCGTAGTGACCATCTGCAACATCTCTATTTGATTACGGCAATAGTCCGTAGGTCTCCGTTGTGGTCCAAGGCTGCAATTCATAACGGCGTGTACGAAATAATACATGTAGTTCCTTGTCTGAATTTGGGCAATTATCCTAGAAGTTAGGGAATTAAATGGTAGAGCTTGCTTGGCTGTGGGGGGGGGGGGGGGGGTTCGTAACCGGTTATCTGCACCACTTATCACAACCCCGCTAGATGCGTGTGCTTGTTGCAAAGCCATTGGGGTGGACTATTAGTAATAAGTAAATGCCGCCTTAAGATTTGCAAATCTTTATTTCTCGTGGGTCGAAGAGTTTCAAGGACAACGTCCCGATTTCAAATCTCCGTATGTTAACAAAATTTTGTATTTATAGTCATGACTGATAATTGGCAAACTTCAGTAATATATCACATGAGTTATTTGATTAACAAGTAGATTAAAGATATAAGTTTCTAGATTAATCACAGTTTTGTTAATGGGAGCTTTTGTACATCCACTTTGGGTTAAATATGCTTCAATGTGTTATATTAGAATACAAAAATTCAAAATGGGAAAAAATGGTTTTAGCTTTGATAACTTTTCCACTTACGTGTATGCACTGAACCAATGACGAGGACATACACATGTTATTAGAAATCTCAATTTCAATTTCTTTTTTATCATAACAATAGAAGATGTTTATGCAAGGGCTTTTCTCATCTGTGTGTGTGTGTGTGTGTGTTGTTGTTGTTGTTGTTGTTGTTGTTGTTCTTGTTGTTGTTGTTGCAGGAGATGCCTTTCCCCACTGGCACCTGATTCCATCTCCTGTTTCCAATGGTACATATTTTGCCCTGGTCACGATTGGTATTGTGTTATGATTTAAAATATTGATCACTGCTCCTTATCGTCATCTATTTCATTGTACCTAGTTTTTGAAATACAGTGTCGGCGTCCTCAAAATGTTCAAAGAATATGAAATTCACTATATCCAGTAAACTTCTGATCATGATTTCTTCATATATTATGAATATGAAAAGCATATTCTGCATTTTCCATGTCTTGAAAGGCATTTACGGTTTTCTAAACGGTTTTCTATGGATCATTTAATGTCAATTAAATAAATCCATTTATTCCACGAACAATTTATGAGATCGATCTTTTTTGGGCCTTTTTTGTTTGAATAGGTTTGAATATCCGAAGATATATCACTCTTAATGATTCATATGTCCGTGCATAGATAGTGTCTTGATATATAATTTTGTCATACTAGTTTAAATGGAGATTTTTAAAAAGAGTCTTACTTAGTTAATGAAGCACACTTGTAGACATTCTATTTGGTATCTGTTGGGTTTTGCAGACTAAAAAGAACATGTGCAAGCATCAACGGAAACATGCAGATTGTATGATGTAACTCGGCTTGGCTAAGATCAGATGCCCATTTCAACCCGCATGATGTTATATAAATGTAACTCTTGATAATTACATTTAATTTAAATGTCTTTTGTTGCATTGCAACGAGCAGAATAAGAGCTTTCCATTGGTATATGATGTCATATATATAGTATCTGCATCTTTAAAAAAAACAACAGAAATAAGTCAAAGATTCATAATTTTTTAAGCGTTATGCTGTTACAATGGATTTTTTGCATTTTAAGAAAAAATGATTAATTAAAATTATGTTGAATGAAGCATTCCAAAATAAAAAAAAATTATTATAGAGAAATCACTCTGGTTAAGTTTTTTTTTTTTTTTTTTTTTTTTTTTTTTTTTTTTTTTTTTTACAGAAAAGAAAAAGGATAAAAATTGTGGAAATTATGAATGTGTGCATATATACCTTTGTTATATAATTTAAAGATTTACCAGTGTTTGAATAAATGCATAATTTCAATGAGAAAAATAGCAAATATAATGTGTTTAAAAATTTTCATTTTTCTTAAGAATAAAAGTACTATGAGAAAAATATAGTGGCTATATGGTAAAATGTGTGCACATTTAGTATTTTTTTTTCCATACTTGTCTAATTTTTTGTATAGTCCGTAGCCCAGTATTTCATTATAGTTTGTCAAAGTAAAATTGAAAGTACTTTAATGTATTTTTTTTCCAATGTCCAAATATTAAGAGTAGAAAAACTCTCCAAGATTAACAAATTTACCCTTTCCCTTTATATACTGTAACATTTTAATGGAAATGAGTTATGTGATTTTTTTTTTTTTTTTGCTCAGACAATATTATGTGAAGAGTCTTTTTTGTTCAATTGAATATGATAAAGATAAATATTATGCCTGAATTTGTATAGTCCGTAGTCCACTTGAGTCTCTGATATAGTAAGATTGAAGTCTTTTAACCGCTTGACAGAAATGGACAGAAATTTCAGACAATATGCTAAAAGGATGTAGTTACATAAAATATTTCATTTGACTTAATTTTTTGTTAATTTGTAGCAACATGGGCACATGATCTTGGCCATGCCGAGCTATCAATGCTATTTTACCCAAAGAAAAAGTCTTGATACACATAGTTTCCTTGGATATACAGTTAGGATATAAAGCTAACATATTTTGTACTCGCTTTTGGTACTTAAAGATAAAAGTTTTTAAAAACGATTTCGAACTTTTTTGACATAAAGTCATAGTCAGGAACTGATTACTTGATGTGAGTCAGTAGCAAGATGCTATAAAACAGTCATATCAACAAATAATTTTACCATACCTATTTTATTTAAGATAAACCTTGCCAAATTCATATTTGTCAATATTTGATTTTTTTATAACAGCATGATTCACGATGTTTTTTTTAGTTGTTATTAACATTACCTTCCTTTATTTCCTTTGTCACAAACTGAAGGGTTTGATAGATTAATTGCATATCCAGTATCACTATACTACTCGTATTCAAGGAACGTTATGTAACAATTGTCCCGTCATTGTATTCAATAGATCAGATAAATTTTCGCTAGTATTGACTATTTGGATCTATACTTAACTGACATGCTCATATCAAATTTACATCCTCTAAATTTCAGCATAACTATCTCCTTTCTAACAATGTACAATTGACGTTTTATTAATTTTTATTTTTTTAATTGTGATAAGAATGAAATAAATTGAAATTTTAGTTTTACTGGTAAAATACAATAATTATTGTCTCTGAGTATTTTGTGCGTATTTATTCATAGCCCTAGGCTATTAACGTAAATGCTGGTTACCATGCAACAATACAGAAAACAATACCAATTTCGATATCTCCCTTTTTTAATTAAACCATTTCTTCTCAAAAAAAGAGAGTACAAATGAATTTTTAAAAAGAAAAGAATACGATGAAGATTGGTTGAATGTCATTCATGTATTAGCAAAAATGCCGCTTTAATATCGAAATTACGTCATCCATGAAGTAGAATTCTTTTTTGAGCAGTTTGAGCAGCATGGTAAAGCTGAAATTGATAAAATATAACTGTTCAAATCCTAATAAGGGAAGATAGATTAAAAACTTTATCGCACTTTATTTGAACAGTTCGGGGATTGGCACCAATAATGCCTGATGGAAATGATCACAAGTTGTTTTAATTAGACATAACAGATATAGATTTACAATTAACTTGTCTTGATATGTTATCAAATAAGAATTACAATACCAGTCCTACTTCATGTAGCTTGACAAATCTTGGCATCGGAGTATACAACTGAATGGCTGTGTTTAAAAAACGCATTTTATTGTTTGTTCAAATACTTTGAAAAAGACTATACACACATTTTGTGAATGATGTGTTGCTCATCATACATGTTAACAAAAAACATTATTCTACAGATACAATTTTTATACAACAAGCATGTTATGATTTAAAAACTTATCTCCTACCTACAAAATTGCAAAAATTCCGCATGTTTTATTTAATCAGTTCAGGCTCAGTTTATTCTTAATAAATAATTATACATGTAATAAACTTTCCTAAATATGTACGAGATAATGTTTTCTTATAATTCCAAAAGGAACGATACTTACTTGTTGAAATGCTTTCGCTACCGGAGCTTGTGAATTTTGCTGGTGGTAGATCACACAATCCCCATACCTTAACTCTTATTAAACCTTCTGAATAATGTCCTTGGAATGGTCCAGCAAACGCAGTTCCACCTAAAATCAGAAGAAATACCATAAAACATCATTGCAACTATAAAATGTATATATGTATGCTACAAGATTTTGATAAAGGAAATATGGGTTGGAGTATTTTTTAAAAATACTTATTTTGTTTGTATATTTTTCGCTGTTTAAATGTTTGTACCCCAATTTGTTTGCGGATCTTCGAATTCCAAAATCTGAAAGGACATCTTATTCACTTCAATCTACCTGTAGTTGAGAGTCTTAATTTTTACTTCTTTTTTAAATTAAACTTATTTTGGAGAAATTAACATTGAACTTGTTTTTGTTTCCTTTAAAAGATGTTCAGCCCTCATGAATACCACCTGTGAGAAAGAATATGACGTCATTATCATACTGTTAATATCATCCATAAATCATCCATAAAACACAATTTAGATGTTCTATTGTTACATTGAATTCACAAAGCAAGGGTTAATGAAAGTTGGGTAACTGTGTTCAAAAATCCAGACATGTACATTACAATTTGTTAACCTGAAAATCGTACATCTTTATCTCTGCAATTGTAATTTGTTGGTCTCAAACTCTCGAGCACTGTACAGGTTATTCTTTTTACGAGTCCGTACTTTACACATTCGTTCATCTGACAAAATACAAATGTACAAGTATTGAGTCAACATGTTTATCGAATTTTGATATGACCATATATGGAGAGTTACGGAAACTTACGATTACGATTCTATCATCTGATTGTATGGGATATGTGCTAACAGACACCTACCTTCTACATTATCTCTGAATTTCTTACAAAATACAGGCCCGTAAAAACGGTTTCGAAAGTGGGCGGGGGGGCATCTTCGCCAAATAATATAAGCTGACAAGCTTTTAAAAAAAACCTGAAACTGACCAAAAATGGGGGGGGGGCT